TTCATAGGACTCTCCAGGACAGAACAACACAGGAGTGCCTAGCTACAGGAGTAATGTAACAACCTACCCAGACTCAGCCATTAGGGCAGGAAGGAGAAAAAAGACTCCGACACTGGGGTTCTGTCCTTATAAAGTGTAAAACAGCACTTCAGCCAGTCATTAAAACATGCTCTCTCGCCCATGCTATGTCCTCCTTCAGGACATAGAGCCAGGGACTCGAGATTAAAAAAGAAATAAGAGTGATAGTTTCCAGTATTACAGTTAGTAACTCTCTAACAGAATTCCTTATTATTTCCAAGAAGGTTTCTACTAGAGTATATAAATGGTTTAAGTAATCTGAAAGCTAAGACAATTGGGTACACTAAACCACGGAGAGAGGTTTTTATACGGGCTGGGGTGTCTACTGAGATTGTTATAGAGAGATCAGCTTGCTACTGGGGTCAAGGAGCATGATGAGGGATCTACTGGGTAGATCTCTGGGTAGCCTCCTCAAACTCTCAAATGTAGCAGGGAGAGGTAGTTAAGAAACTCAGCTATGAAGGGCTCACTCTGTTCCAGAATGAAGAACCCCGGCCACTGCAGAAAAACCTCAAATAAAGAAGTTACAAATACCAACCACAGCTTCCTCACCAGTTATACTAAATACAAAGTAATTATACAAGTTCTCTTCTCTGCTTGTCCTGGGTATCTTTGTATGTAGTAATTATTCTTTCCAAATCCACATCCCCTGTGACTTTATGCTAAATGTGTTGGTGGCAATGATCCTTACGGTTAGCATTACAGAATATCTAGGAGGAACTATAAACAAAACTGGAAGAATTAACTCTAATAAAGATAATAGTAGCTGTTAAGATTTTGTCTCTCCCTTTGGGGCAAAAAAAAAAAGTGAGAAATTTCTTCTGTGTCCAAAAAATAATTAGAAACAACACATATGTACATACATAACTATTATTGCTGAGCAGAAATTTAAAGCTGATAAAGGATATGTATGGCTACTGGATGGCTAAACCTGGACAGTATAGCAATTCAAGACTTTTTAAAAAATTTTTTTAATTTATTTTTTTATTAATTACAGCTTATTCACTTTGTATCCCAGCTGTTGCCCCCTCCCTCATCCCCTCCCAATCCTGCCCTCCCTTGCTTTTCTCCTCCCATGCCCCTCCCCCAGTCCACTGATAGGAGAGGTCCTCCTCCCCTTCCAGCTGACCCTCACCTATCAGGTCTCATCAGGACTGGCTGCATTGTCTTCCTCTGTGGCCTGGTAAGGTTGCTACCCCCCTCAGGTGGAGGTGATCAAAGAGCCAGCCACTGAGTTCATGTCAGAGACAGTCCCTGTTCCTATTACTAGAGAACCCACTTGGAGAATGAGCTGCCATGGGCTACATCTGTGCAGGGGTTCTAGGTTATCTCCACGAATGGTCCTTGGTTGGAGAATCAGTCTCAGAAAAGAGCCCTGTGCCCAGATATTTTGGTTCTGTTGCTCTCCTTGTAGAGCTTCTGTCCTCTCCAGTTCTATCTCCCCCTTCTTTCATAAGATTCCCTGCAATCTGCCCAAATTTTCTTTAAGAGTCTCAGCATCTGCTTTGATACCCTGCTGGGTAGTCTTTCAGAGGCCCTCTGTGGTAGGCTCCTGTCCTGTTCCCATTTTCTCCCTCTTCCAATGTCCGTCCCGTTTGCCTTTTGTGGTTCAGGACTTACAAAGTGTGTGTACCACGCTCCTCACACCCACCCACATTTCCCTTCCCTTTTGTTTTTCCAGTATTTCTTACCCATGTCTACCTTAAAGACAGTCTATTTGAAGAACCTAGAGTCATTTGCTTTCCTAAATGAACCTTCATTGATTAACCATCTGCTCTAGTTTTCTTCTGTTGCTGTTACCACAGCAATAACCAAAAGCAACCTGGGAAGGAAGGAGTTTATGTGCCTTATAGGTTATGGTCTGTCATCAAGGGAGACCAAGGCAGGAACTAAATCAGAGACCATGGAGGAACTCTGCTTACTGGCTTGCTCCCTTTGGCTTTCTCAGCTGCCTTTCCTGTACAGCCCAGGTTCACCTGCATAAGGACGGCACCTCCCACAGCATGGCCCTGCTACATCAATTAGCCGCCAATACAATGCCCACAGACCTGGCCACAGGCCAATCTGATGGAGGAAATTCCTTAATTGAGAGTCCCTCTAAGTTGGCATCAAGCAGACAGCCACTAAGTGTCATGCGGTCCCATGAGCTCTCAGTGTTTTTCAGATCTACTTGCAAGCTTGTTTCTATTGCTTGTTTCTTGGTGCATCCAATTGCCTCTCGTTACACTGAATTTTAAAATAATTCAGATAAAATTTGAGGATTATAACAATATTTCCCCCCCCCCCCCAAAGAAAATTCAGAAGATTTGATAGCTTTAGAACTACAGACCACCTTAATCCAAGTTCAAGGTCTAAGATTTCCTAGATCTGGTCTGAACCCTCAGTGCTTAGCTGGGTGGACTGGTTCATTGAGCTCACCCTTCCTCCTACAGCACAGTCCTTCAGGAGTCCTAGTCTCAGTTCCCTGCCCCCTCTCATCCCCCAGAGCTCAAAATTTTACTTCTTAGTTCTTCTGGGCCCAGGGGGACCTGCAGAGATGGATGACTCAGCAGTAAGGTTCTTGGCCATTGGTCCTAAGTACCTGAGTTTCATTCCCACGCCCCTTAGAGTGGAGGTGGGACAGCAGGTCGTCCTCTGACTCCACTTGCACACTGTAGCATGTGCACACACACACACACACACACACACACACACACAAATAAATAAAACATAATTAAGAAAACTAAAATCAAGGAGACCTGATTTTACATTATAGCTTCTTGACACGTAATTTAAAACCTTCTTTTATCCAAAGGTCAAGTTTAATTCCTTAAACATTGTCAGCATTTCATCTTCTATTCTGAATGTGAATGCGTATGTAAATATACAAGGAAGTAATAAACAATACTGTTCAAATAGTTTTAACACAAACGTAGTGAAGTGGAAGGAGTCACTGCTGCCCAAGATCTTTTCCAAGAGTACAGAGTGAACACTGAGACGCAAGTTTGACAATGTGCCTTACAGCACGGGACAGACAGCATGTCAACAGAGAAGAGTCACATCACGATGAGACAGGACCAGAAGTTCAGCTGTGATAAAGCTCAGAGCGGACCTCCTGCTGCTGGGCTACAATCCTGATGACAATGACCTTTAATGTTGCTGTATATAATCCTCTTCAGTTCAGCTCAACCACAAATGCACAGAATTCTCAGTTCTGGTTTCTGCCCTTTTTTTTGATTTTCATTAAAACCACAGTAAATTAAGTAAAAGGGTAGTAATGGCCAGCACTGAATCTTAAGAGTCCTTTCTCAGGTTGATATCCAAGTAGGGCATCCTCAACTTGTCACAGGTATTCTCTCCCTGGGACAGTCTAACTACATTTGTCAGTCCTTCAAGAAAGAAATAAACACCCTGGTGCCTGACTTAAGAAACTGAAATCACCTCTGCTTAACAGAGCTCCATGAGATAAGCACTGGGTAAGCAAAATGCAATAATGGTGAGGAAAGAAAATAAGACTATCACATTGAACCTCCATGGTCACAGGATAGCACAGCCAAGAAACATTCCTCATGGTGCTAGAAAGGAGACTCGGTGCAAATAAAATAGTCTGAATTCAAATCCCTAACACTCACACAAAATCCTGGCACAGTGGTACACATTTGTAGCCCCAGGGCTACGGTGGACACAGGAGGATCCCAGGGACTTGCTGGTCAACCAGCCTAGGCAGTGAGTTCCACATTCATCAAGACACTGTCTCAAAGTGTAAGAAGAAGAGCTAGAGAGCTGGCTTGGTGGTTAAGGGCACGGGCTGCTCTTCCAGAGGACCCAGGTTCTGTTCTCAGTACCCACATGACAGCTCACAAGCATCTGTAACTCCAGTTCCAGAGGATCCAACACTCTCTTTTGGCCTTCTTAGGCAGTGCACACATATGGTACACAGGCATAGACACAAGAAAACCACCCATACACAAAAAAAAAAAAAAAAAAAAAAATCACATAATTTTAAATAAAAATAAAATAAAATAGGAGCCAGGCAGTGGTGGTGCATGCCTTTAATCCCACTTGGGAGGCAGAGGCAAGTGGATCTCTGGATTTGACGCCAGCCTGCTCTACAGAGTGAGTTCCAGGATAGGCAGGGCTACACAGAGAGACTCTGTCTAGAAAAAAAAAAAGAATAAGATCGAAATAAACTGAGGAAGACATCTAATATTGACCTCTGGCCTCCACATGCAGGGGCAAGCACACACAGAAACACACATGCACATGCACAGGGGCACATGCTCACGCATGCACGAGCTTGTCACTCTTAATTCACCCCAACACCAACTACAAGACTAAGCTGGCCCCTCTGTTCACAGAGGGCAGGGAGAGAAATTCTCCTGGCCTTTTTTCACATTTCAGCATCTCACTTTTGAAGCCCAAGTGGCTTTATGTACATAAATACTCTTCTCAAACACACGGATCCTCTTACTTTTCATCATAAATTTTAGTAAAAATAATTATTTTGCAAGTTTATCTCCCTTTGAACATAATAAGTATATTTATCATTCTTTGAAAGATTTCACAATGAAAATTGTATAGCTTCAGGAGTTTTTTTCCTAGCCAGCAAACAAGGCTCACTTTGTTGGATACACTTCCCTGGTAAAACCAGAAATTTTTTTTTTTCAAATAGGAATTTTAATTTAAACATTGTAATGTAAACATATTATGTAGTCTTAGAGCTAGCAATAGAATGTCATCCTGGAACCATAAACAGCAACTTGTGTTCTGTAAAACTTCTTAGCTTTGTATTTAATCCAAAGATTTATGCAACTGCACCAAGAAATTAGTGTTAGATTTTTCTCAACATTCAACGTAAAACATTACACATAATAGGCTGAATGGGGAGGAATTGTGATTAAATGCCAAAAATGTAAACACGAGAAAGTAAACATGAAAACAAATCACTTTAAGAAATCATTTAATTACAAGAAAATTAGCCTGAAAATTGCAGACTTCTAAACAAACCGTCTATAGAAAAACAACAGCTCATTTACCGTTGTGGGTTTGTTTATTTCTCCTTCAGATAATCCCATCTATTGAACCTAGTCTTTTCTGGCAAACATTAGAATATATGGGGTCTTTTCATGTTTAATATTCCATAAAACAGAACTCGCTTTCTTCCTGAAATGAGAATGATTTTGCTTCAGAGAAACTTTAGATTGCTCTCTTGTGACTACTTCAACGAGCCCCTCCCCAAAGGCATCAGGAAATCAGCAACGGAGCGGCTGTTTTACCCATGGTTCCTGTCATTCACTTCATTTTACCAGCCCGAGTACACATTCTGAGAAGAGCTCCCGAAGTCCCGCAGTTTCAAATTCCTTTTGTAACTCCTCCAATGTTGAATACTCTTTGACTTCAAACGCCAGAAACCTGCATTATGCAAGAGAAGCTCATGAATATGCGTAGATTTGTCAGAGGATAATTACCCATTCAGTTGCTTTTGCATCTGCAATAGTACTAAATTATACCTTTTGTGTTCCGTTTGTACTTTTGTTTCAGACAGTACACTAATCATTTTCTCTTTGCATTTCTTTCCACTTGAGTCCACATCTACTTTGGAGGTTTTCTGAAGAATCAGGTACTCCTAAACGATAATCAGTATGTTAAATGCAGACCGCGTGCTGAATGGCAAAGCCCTGTTCGAACGGAGCCAGAACCCACAAGCATTTTCCTGCCTGAGGTGCATTCTCAGGATGCGGCAGTAAGACAGCTACAAGATATCTTTACGTAGGTGCAGAACACTGCTCCGGTGAGTGCCCTGTAAAGAGCAATTTTAAAAAAAGTACTCACCTCTAAATCTGGACGGGACAGCTACTAGCGGGGGCTATTTAAACTCTCTGTTGTTTAAACCGGTTATTTAAACTAGTTATTTAAGCTGGCTGCTCACACTCTCTGTGCCTTAGTTAGCGGACTCCACTCAGGGACTCCTAACGTGACCCACCTCCTGGTGATACTGGGACTACTGAGAGAAGTGAGACACACAGGCACTTCTGGGAGGGACACAGCACGAAACACAACACACCCCTAACTGCCTGCCTACACATGCACTGTACCTTCCTGGCCCCAGTATACAATCTCATGAAAAAAAAAAAAAAAAAAATCAGAGAAATTCATGTAAAATGACATCTTAGAGTTATTTTAAAATATTCATGTCTCTGAACTAGTGGAATTGTAGTGGTAAGAACAAATACACATTAGTAATTCATGATTCTGTTGGCCAAATGCTGCATTTATCCTAGTGTGCCCGAGCTGGTCACAATCAGAGCTCAGGTAAACGTGATCGGGGAACCTAGTACCCATTTTCATCAGCTAGTGTGTTACCCTAAAGGTTCAAAGTTTATAATGCACACAGGCTGCCTCAGAATCGGGGGTTGCTCAGTTAGGCTCCCCTGTTAGATCACATCTAACTTCTTACTTTCTCCACACCAAAACCCAGCAAGGACTTGGTTAAGCAAATGCCAAAGGAGGTTGTGGTAAGGACCTATCTTGGGAAAACTCTGGGCTGTTGTTCTGCAAAGCTTTAAGATTGTAGGTTGCTCATGCTAAATCTGTTTTAAATAAAATCTCTGTATCTGTGCCTGCCCCCCCCCACTGACAGTGTAAGACTTACTGAGTTAGCTCTGAAAAGGTTTAAAACATAATGAGCAGGTTTCCTTGTCTGGCTCCTCATAAAACAGGCTTGCAGGCTTCAGGATGAGGGCTTGGAAGCCTGAAGATGATGGCTTTGAAAGCAGCTGCTGAGACAAGTCAGGTGGAAAGAAGAAGTCGGGAGGAGGTGACATGCTGACAGTCCTGCCGACCCAACCCGCTTCCTCTGAGGCTGGCTCTCCGCTGTAAGGGACAAGCCTTTCTTTCAGGAACTACAGATACAACACTGAAGGATCAGGATGCGCTTTTTTGCACCTGCATATGTTAGGAATTTTGCAGACTGCTCACAAACACGCTCCTTGCTGTGCTGAGCTATGGAAAAATTAGTATGTACCAGCTTTCCATGCTCATTTATACAACTGCAGTTTATCATTAATATGAAACAAATACAGGCCTGGGACTTTTTCAAAAACTGTTGCTGGTGCTGGAGAGATAGCTCAGAGGTTAAGAGCACACGGCGTCCTTTCAGAGGACCTGGGTTTGAGTCTCAATACCCACAGAGCAGCTAGTAGCTGCCTGTGGCACCAGTTCCACGGGATCCTACGCCCTCTTCTGGCTTCGTTGGGCACTGCACCTGCTGCCTCAGCAGGCAAAACACGTTTTGAATAAACATGTTAAGAATAAACGAATATTTTTTAAACTATCACTTTCATTAAGTGCAATAATTTTTAATTTATTTTAGTTTTTTTGAGACAGGGTTTCTCTGTGTAACAGGTCTGGCTGTCCTGGAACTCCCTCTGCGGGCCTTGAACTCCCAAAGATCTACCTGTCTCTGCCTCCCAAGTGCTGGGATTAAAGACTTACACCACCACACTCTTAAGCTTTGGAAGTTTGTAGCTATTGTTAGGAACAAGATATTCAGTTTAAAAAAGAACTTGAGGTGTGGGGAGGGGTTAAAGAAATGGCTCAGTGGTTAAGAATATGTCTGCTCTTCCAGAGGACCTGTTCGGTTCCCAGTTCCCACTTGGCAGCTCAGAGACCACTACGACTTCAGCTGCAGGGGACCTTCTTCTGGCCTCTGTGAGAACTAGGCACACATGAGATGCACAGACATACAGACAGACAAAATACCATACACATAAAATAGAGAAATATTAGAGAATAAAGAAAACCAAAGGAGAACTTAACATGATAATAAGTAAAGCAGAAACACCATGCTTCCACTATCCCGTCCTTAGAAAACACACTTAAAGAAACACGTTTAACAGAAAGTAGATTCATATTCAACATTAAATTTCTGGCACCTTGATGTTGCTTCTGTCTCCTTGTAGTAAAATCAGTATTATTTTGCCCATGAACATCAGTCTTCCTGTCAGCCTTAACTCAGAAGCCCACTTCTCCACAGCTTTGACATATTTAGTCCTTGCTCTCATGTGATCTAAATGCAAAAGAGTTATCCACAATCCGTCATCCACGGCCGTGCTTTCTGGCAAAGTACACTTCGAACTGCTGCCTGCAGTCTCTGGCCGGCTGAGGACGAGCCTCAGATTCTGCTGAACCCAAAGAACCAGCTCGTGGACCATAGGTTCTGACAGAAGCTTCCCGGCTTCATCGAGTAACTTCTCCTTCACCGTAAGACACTGGGCCCTGGTCAGCTGTTCCGAGTTGACGGAGACCCCAGGTAGACACGAAGGGTAGCCGGCTGGTAAATGGAACACCAGCTCTAAGGGCACGGCCTCACCCACAAGTCCTTCAGCTGTCGTGTGAATTTTCAGTACAGCCCCATCTGTCTCTGGAAGACATCCAAAGATAATCATTAGCTGTACATAATTCAATCGCAATGGAATACTAATCGCTCAAAATTTCCCTTTTAAATCTCAATTTATTTCTCATAGGAAAACTCTGAGTTATTTTATGAAGAGACAAACAACGAAAAAAAAACAAAACAAAACAAAAAAAAACATGATTTAGAGGTCATTTCCCCCGGTCATAAAGACATCTGAACAACTCCACGCAAACGTCCTTGCAATTTACACTTTTTAGCGCCCAAAAGAGTAGTTTTGGTTTATATCACTTCCTTCACATTTCACTGGTACTTAGGAAAATCACAGATCCACTCTTACAGGTGTTGGTGGGGCAGTAACGTGAGAAGTCCGCTCGAAGTTACCCATGGTGAATCACGTGGAGAGCGAGGTGGTGGCAGGGCTAGGAGAAACGGATGGCTGGGCGTGATACTGAAGGTGATGGGGCCTGCTCTTCTCCTTCACACTCGTCCCTGTCAGCACGGAGGCAGCATGAGGAGCTGAGACTGCACGGATGTCCATTCAGCCCCCGCTGGCTCCCTGAGAAGGGGCGGGGGTGGGGGAGCGCACCTAGGAGATGACATGAACGATTCTGCTCTCTTTCAGGTGTGCTCGGCTTCACCACTCTGACGCGTTCCACATCACTTCACCCCACTTTCCAAAAAGCTGATGAAACGTCAGGCTAGTTCATTCTGCAGGGGCCTGAAGCGCCCACGTCGGAGAGCGGAGAAGGGAGCGGGGGCCCAGAGGCACGGCTGTGGAGCTTGCTGCTCTGGGCCTTCCTCAGCCTGTCCTCTGCCTCTCCTCAGCAGGGGAGCCGCCAGACCCCACCCCTGGAGGGCTGCCTCGACAATGCAGACCTGAAGGCAGCCCCCACGAAGAATCTAACAGAGCTCGAAAATCACTTCTCAGCCATCTGATTCCAATGATATAGAAGAGCCTTTGTTAAGCAGAGTCATACAGGGCCAAGCACATCTGTTGCAAAGTTGTTCTTTAATGGGTGTCAATATCAGCTGCGAGGAACTATTTTCAGACATCATCCAGAACCACAGGCAGGAACCATTCCAAAGATCATACTGTCTTTTCTTTGACATGTGTAATATATATACCAAAAAACCTTTCTAAATCTAACGGCATATGTGCTTCTAGAACCTATCACACATTCCAAACCTCTTCGTTCCTCCTTCCTTAATTCTTCTACTATCATTATTACTATTACTCTGTATGTGCGTGCGTGTGTGTGTGTGTGTGTGTGTGTGTGTGTGTGTGTGTGTGTGTGTCAGAGAACAACTCAGGAAATCATTCTGTCTCATCATCTTAGAGGATTCTGGGATTGTCAGACCCATGTGCAGGCACCTCCACCCACTGAACCACCTCACCAGCCCCAAGTTTATTCTTCCTTTCATTGCGTAGTTTACTGTCAAAATGGGCTCCCATAATATCCATTCAGTTCATATATTTTGCTCTAACAGGGGCTTTTATGGAGCTGCAGACAACACAATCCTCCAGCAAGCCTGCATGCTCTCTCAAGAGGGGGCAGAATTTTTAAAGATCTTCATTTATCCAACAAGCATCCCTGGGCACGTGTCAACCCCCACACACTGTGCTGTTTGGAAAACAATGGGGAAGAAGCAGATCTGTCACAATGGCTCAATCCAGTGTTTCAAAACATGATGTAAAGAGCAGGCTCCGTCTTCCCAGACCTACACCTGCAAGGGCTTCTATTAGAGATATGTGAACAAAGGTTTCTTCTTTTTTTGTTTCAGAGAGTTTGTGTGTGAGAGAGAGACAGACAGACAGACAAACAGACTCTATGTAGTACCAGCTGGCCTTGGCCTCGCTCGCTATATGAACCAGACAGCCTTCCAAGTGCTAGAATTAAAGGCGTGAGCCACCACACCCAGGTCCATAAACTTGGAGGCCCACTCCATAGAGACCCACTTTCTCCACCTCCACCCCTGCAGTCCCCACGTTCCTAAAGTCCCACTACCTTCCAAAACAGTGCCACCTACCGGAGAGCAAGCATGCAAACAGATGAGCCTGTGGCATGCGGTTTACATTCAAACTGTAATGGACGAGGCCGAGCGCAGTTTACAGTCTGGCCGCACTTCCTGCATAATTTCTGCTTCCTAATCAACCTAGGTATGAGAAAACTGCCTCATTCTCCTGCTGCCACAGCTAAGAGCTCTTCCTGTAGCCACTCTTTGCCCACCATGATAAACTGTACTCTCACTATGAGACAAGGAAAAAAAAAATTTGTTCTCTCCTGTTTTTATGAGAGCTGTTTGCTCACAATACATCATGAGATGTGGAACTAGGAGACTATATATATATGCAAACATGCTGGGTGAGCAGGGAGCAGTACTGTCTGTTGCCACTTGAGGGCGATGCCTCCCTACTGCTGAAGGTAGGGAAGATGCTATTGGCCCAGAAGCTGCAATGGCTGCAGCACTTGGCCTCATATACATACATACATACATACATACATACATACATACATACATACATACATACATACATACATACATCATATATACATATATACCTTATTGCTCTCTCCTTTTTATTCTTCTCTCTGATAACAAAGCATCTTCTTCCCACAGCAAATCCTACCATCCTTAGCGTTTTATTCTAAACATTTTAACTTCTTATGCTTTTTCTCGCCCTCCCTGCTTCTTTCTCTTATTTAGAAAATGTTTGTTTAAAAAACAATCCAAAACACTGCAAAAACCCAATGCTCTTAATTCCTCAACAAGCTTCAGACCCATCTCTCTCTACCCCTTCACTGTCAAATCTCCCTAACACGTAACTCTGGCCACCTCTTTCCATTTTCTCATAAATCAGCCTCCCCATAACTGCTTAAACTGTGACCTCTAGTGACCTAGTGACATTTCCTCCTGGAGCACTATTCTCAAACATGACCCATGACCTCTAAAATGCTACAAGGAAGAATGGGGAGAGCTTAGTAGGCCAGGACCAGACCAGGGCTACCTATAAGAGATGAGTCTGACTCCTTACAATATTCTGTCTGGTAGGAGTGTGCTTTGTACACCTCAGGGTTTGAACCCCATGGTCTGGACCAACTGGATGATGTCCACTCGACCATAGGACTGCAATGGGTCTTCTTGCTATGCAGGTGTGCCTGCCGACTTGAGCCCTGCTACAGCTCATGTTTTATTGTCCTGGGACACCTAGCATCACTGTCCAAAGCTTCATCCTCAAAACAAAGCTAATTTGCTAATCACCTCCTAACCACTACTGTGCGGGAAAAAAGTGCACTTTCCCAGTAGGCACCAGTTCTCACAGTCACACAACACTGCTTTGAGAATCTGGCATGCTTGTCCACGTCTACCAGAGGACCACATCCGGGAGCTTGCTCATTGATTCTCCTGTACCCTTCTCTCAACTGAGTTACTAGTATATAACGAAATGAAGCTCTGAGCTTAACAGATTTTCTGAGTCTTGTAAATCTTTGAAAATCATTGGGTTTCTCCCACCACAGCACCCCTCTAACGCTGACTTTATGCTGTCCATTGTACTTTGAACTCATTATGGTATTTTCCGATGTAAAATTATGATACTTAACTTTTCTCCACCTCTAAAGTATCCCAATTTTGTCTTTAAAAAATAATACCCTCCCCAAATGGAGAAGGGATTGATAAGAAACATGTTCCATAGTTACAGAGGCTTTAAGTTTATGCCACTGGCTTAGAAGCATGGATCCCATGAGTGCTGAAGTTCTTGGGACCTGTGGTATAAGTAACAGACCTATGAACGCATGCACCCTGTTCCCCTGACTTGTGAGTATACTCGCCTGCATGCCAAAGGGCCTGCAGACCTGAGGAAGGATGTTGACATGGGGAAATCACTCTGAATTGTCCTGAAGTGGGGAGGGGGTAGGTGGAGGTGTATGTATATTTTAACAGAGAAGGAAACATATCCACTGAGGCAGGAAGCTCTGCTTTGGGACCTGATGATAGAGGAAGGGGGCCCTCGGGTATGGGGCGCAGGTACACAGCAAAGGAGCTGAGAAAGGCAAGCCGGTGAATGCCCCAGGGGCTTGTGGGGCACAAAGAGCATCATTTCCAACAATCTACTTCATCTGCTGAAAACTGACTTTGGACTTCTAACCCTTAGAACTTCAGTACACTGAAGACGTGGGTTTCAAGCCACCCATATGTGAGGGTTGGCTGCAGAGGCCACAAGTAGCTACTGCGGTAACCTGGCTGTGCTACATAAACCCAGCATGTCCTAGCCCAGTGCAACACAGGAACTGGCCAGGGAACGCAGTCCAGGGAAGCTGTAAGAGGGCAGGCAAATCTTTGCAAGTTTCTTTCTTTCTTTCTTTCTTTCTTTCTTTCTTTCTTTCTTTCTTCTTTCTTCTTTCTTCCTTCCATCTTTTCTTCCTTTCCTCCTCCTCCTCCTTCTTCCTCTTTGCTTCTTTTTCGTCTTTTCCTCTCTTCCTCCTCTTCTTCATCTTTTTAGTTTTTCAAGATAGGGTTTCTCTGTATAGCCTTGGCTGTCCTGGAACTCACTCTATAGTCCATGCTGGCTTCAAACTCATAGATCTGCCTTCCTCTGCCTCCTGAGTGCTGGGATTTAAGGTGTGGCTATCAAACCCAGCTCTTCCTTGTACTATTTTGTGGTCCCAGTCAACAAACAGACTAGCAATGGGAGTGGGGCACCCTAGCTCTCGTTTTAAGAAACTAGGAAGGAGACTACTACTTGTATATTCAGAAGAAAAATGGCTTTAATTCTTGACGTTGGAGGAGTCATAGTATTCCTAGTTGATCTCCCTGGCCAATGTCACACACACACACACACACACACACACACACACACACACACACACCAGAGCTGCAAGCTAAGGCTGCACAAAATGGCTCTATCTGCGTAAGAAAACAAGAAGACCTAAAAAGACCCTGTTCTAATGTTCTAATGTCAAGTGTGGTGGGAGAATGAAAAAACAAATCACAGAGTCTTTTTAAAAACTCATTTTCTTCCCCCAAGAACTCTTTAAAAGTGTCTATCTTACCCTTGCATTTTTGATCTGCCTTAGTATCTACAGCAAAAACTGGCTCCTTTTTCTCCCAAATCTTTGTGTGTCTCATTCATTCAAAGTTTAACTGTTTTTTGTTTTATTTTTTGTTTCCTAACAAAAAAGAAAATTGTTCTACTCTAAAGTTATTATGTGCTTTGAGGTTATTTAAAGTTATTAACAGCTTAGCATGACAATGGGTAACAAAGAAATAACTGTACATCTGAAGTTAATCTTTGTCCCTGGCCCACACAAGACAGCTATTAACTCACAAACATCCCTCTCAATAAGCCTGTACCCTAAAGAACTCATGCCTGCCCTGCCACGGTAAAATTCCCAGAAGACGCAAGACTGTTTTCACCTAGTCTAAGCCTTCCACAGAAAGACGCAGGGTTCGCCTTCTAGCTCACTATTTACACAAGTCAGTCTGCCTTGCAACAATATTGATGTTATAACTACATCTCAAACTCAAAGAGATTCAACTCTTACTCTTCTTAGCCCAGGTACCCAGAGAACTTAGGAAGCTGCGGCTGGAGGATTGACAGTTGGTGGCCACAGTCGGCTACAGCAGTAGACTCTGTATTAAGATAATCAAACCTTAACCTTTCCTAAAGATACACGAAAGAAATCATGTTCCTAATATGGCAGACAACAGAAGTTCAAACTAAAAAACAAACAAACACTGAATTAGAACCCAGATTCCACTCTAACTCTATTTTCAAAGTTTCTCTTACTTCACCTACAACACATGACACAGTTTCACCACAGTGACATGGGCAAAAGTAACCAAAATATATGAGAACGGGTTCTTCAGGATTTATTTAGCATGCATGGAGAAACCATTCACTTACTAGACTCAACTCACATTCTCTGTGCATGCTTTACTTTTCCCAGTTCTTACATATCCTCAAAGCCTTTGCACAGAAAAGCACTCAAAAGCCTCCCAGACACTCTGTACTTCATGAGACCGGGACTTTCTTTACTTCTACTCCCAGGCCACTCACCACAAATATGCATACATAAATGCTTATTTCATGCTTCACCTGGCTTTTCACATGATTTAAATGTCCTCATAGAAGAAAACAAAACAACCAAAAGGAATGGAAGTTAAAGACAGCAATTCCACCCTTTCAAAATAAAGTTCAAGACTGCGCTGATTTTAGAGAGCTGAGTTCAGCCAGACAACCAGCACACAACAACTGTGCCAATGTAATGATTTTGCAACACAGCGGAGTCCAAAACCGGAACATCAGGGTTAACAAAACACAAAAACCCACTGGGAAGCTATTGCAAGCCTATTGTGTTACACTGTTGTACTCTTGTTGTGCTATAATGCGATTCCTCTCGTGTTGCAACTTTTAAATCTGTGAGATGATTCTCGAACTGCAACTCCATTAATAATAACCACTGAATGAAGGAGTATGCTCTCCATGACCTCACCCGGAAAATGGACAACACTAGCTTCACCTGCCTCAGCAGAGACCACACACACACACACACACACACACACACACACACACAGTGAAGTGAAACATGGGCCCCACCCCACCTCTGGACTGTTCTGAATATGCACTAGATCCTGTTGGAGGAGGATCTTATGCACTGGGCCTTTGGATGCTGATTTCAGTGCCCTGCGATCTGGTTTATGAATGCTGAACCATCTCCTGTACCCATGTGATGTAAGGAATCTTCCCCAATTATCCCTGATTGGTTAATAAAGACGCTGAAACCTGTGACTGGGCAGAAGAGAGGTAGTCGGAGTTTAGGTTCCCAGGCAAGAAGAGGGGGAGGAGAAGGTATAGCAGGAGAGAAGAAGGAAGCCATGAAGATAGACTGATGAAGCAAAAGCTGCCTGAGAGTCATGAGATTGGCAAATGATTGGCTTTCATGTGGGTTTTAAGGATTAGAATAGCTCAGAATCTGCCCAGCATAGTGCCTCCAGCTTAATCACAAATCATAGTCTCTCTGTGTTAATCATTGGGGAACTAGCTGGTAAAAAAAAAAAAAAAAAAAAAATACTGTTCTAAAACTTTTCTGTATTAATGTCCTGTATTAATAAATATATACAGAATAATTAATTCATTATATAAGACCCACCTATACTTTTGTTCTAAATGCTCAAACTCTTTTTTCTCAACATATGGAGTTTTTGCTAAGAACTTTTCCTCCACCAGCCCCCTTGCTCAGTGGAATGGGACACAGTGCCAAGTCCAACCCTGTGAAGCTTGGTGGTTTTCTAACCAATCCAATCATCAGTGATCTTCAGTGCAAACTAAAGCTAAGAAAACCTCTCTTCAAGACCCTCATAAAGATCAGGAGGTGTCAGGTGACCAATCAAACCTGCCACCTGAACGGACACATGGGATGGAGGGGAACAGACTATTTGGTCTACCCCCACTCCTTGCCCACAGCTAGAAATATGATGTTTATATTCTTTGTATCCCGAAGAGATCGTTACACACAGTGCCTCTTCCTTCGAACTTACTCTAACATCTGAGTGGCCAGAATGTAAACAGATTCCCTCAGGTTCTTAGCATCAATTAATCTCCACTAAACCGGACCCATTTGTTCAAGCCGTTTCAACTCAGGGCCTTTAGAGCTGGCCCTTAGTGTCTGCCTGGGTTTTCCTGGACTGTCTTACAGAGAAATGTAGGCCCTCGGCAAAAGTCTTCTAACTCCACTGAAGACAAGAGAAAATTATTTGATGGAGGCCAGGAAAGAAATAATGGGGTACAGAAATAATGGGGTACACCCTCAAACCCGAAGTGCCACTGACAGTGTAAGTGGTAGCCACACTTGGTCTGCTCTGAGAAAGCCTTAACTTCTCACAGTTCCCACCAGGGATCAAACCCCCCTATTTCAACTGCTGAATCGTTCTACTCTCCAAAGAACGTTCTAGTAACAAAATGTCCGAAATGGTTACACTGAATTCCTTTATAATTCAATTACTTATTGATGCCAGAACACTGAATTAAATTAATTAGGAGGCATGGCTTGAAAGTCAGGCTCAATTTAGCAGCAGATAAAGGGCCACAGTGTTCTCAACATTAAGAAACCATCCTCTTTCTCTCAGTGCTTCTTTTGGGGATTTTCTCTGACCTATCAAGAGTATTCAGTGGCCAACCATGAATTCATAATGTAAAACACCATTTTTTTTTTTTTTTAATGTCACAGGACATCACAGGTTTGCTTCTCCCGGATATTTGCAAGTGAATCAAGATACAAGAACTCAAGAGACATGGGTGACCCCTTTAAATATCCACCTCAGGCAGAAGCAATTATGGGAACCCAAAGCCCCCTCAGTCACAGATGTTGATAGCTTCCTTAGGTCTAGCACAATTCATACTGTCTTCTTAGACGTAAACCGATTTATGGTCAGATAGGCAGTTTCAATAGTAGTTACATTGTAACGTTAAGGATAGCTCCTAATGAACCAAAATGTGCATAATGTATTTGGCAGCTGAGAAAAAAAAAAAAAAATCAGGGTTATTTTCTTCTGCACACTTTCCCAAAAAAGGGGACATTTGGGGGCACTGGAGATGTCTCGGTGGTTAAGAGCGTTGGCCCCCTTTCGGAGGCCCCTGGGTTCAGTTCCCAGCACTCACATGGCACAGCTCAGTACACATACATACAGGCAGGCAAAACACTCATAAACACACACATAAAACTTTAAAATGTGTGTGACAGGAGAGGACCAGTTCCTTAAGGTAAGCCAAGACAAGAATGGAGCAAGTTTCAGCAATAATAATAATAATAATAATAATAACAACAACAACAGTGATGCAGATTAAAACCTCCCAGAGGAGAGGCCCATGGTAGGAGAAGGCGTCCACGAACGCGGGCTGTATGGCTACGACTCCGGCACAAGTCTGGAATTGGCTACCACTGTTCAGCAGCCTGGAAAACGTTGAAAATAAAAATAAAAACCGTTCTCGGCGCCCTAGACAACAAAACACTGCGCAGTCTCGTCAAGGATGCACGACTACTGATGGGGGGTCACTGGCTGTTTGGGGGAGCTGGATTTCCACGAGGAGTGGCCGCGGAGAGCCCAGGGGAGGGCACTGCGAGCGCAGGCCGCGCCCCTCCACCCGCCTCCCACCCCCGCCCGCGGCTACGTGACTCCCGGGCCGCCCCCCCCCCGGCTCCCCGCTGTGGCCGCGGGGTGGGAGGCGGGGTATTCACCTGAACAGCTCAACATCTCCCACTCGCGGGGCCCGCAGAAAATCGCGGCCAACGCCGAGAGCTCCTCCCGCACAGCCTCCGCCATATCCGCGCGCCCAGAAGCCCAAGCCGCTTCCGCCGCCCCTGGGAGCAGAGCGGCCCACGGCCACACGGGGGCGCCCCGGCCTCGCCGCCGGGCAAGGTGCGGATGGCGTGGGAGGGGCGTGTCTGTGGGCGGGGCAAATGCCTGGAAGCTCCGCCCAGACCCTTCTGTAACTCCTAAGCAACTTCACTCCAGCTTCTTTCCTTTGCTGCTTTCCAGAGCTGAGACCTGTAAAGCCACACGTGCCCTACAAGAACGCGCAGGCTGTGAACCCACCATGCTTTATCTATACTTGGCTGGGAGGGAATGGGAGGGGAGAGTAAAAGAAATTTAAGCAAACAAGTGTCCGGGATCCCACGGAGAGCAAAACACAAATTCCCCATCCTTGTGTTGCTCTTAGTGATCCCCCGCGGTCAGGGAATTCCAGGAAAGACATTGGTAATGACCTCCAGGATACTGACCTGGTCACTAGCCCTGGATTACGGACAAGGTCTGGATGATCTCAGAACTTTCCTGTCAAAGATGCAGATGAGGGAGAGTGAGGAGTGAGACTCTAGCTATTGGGGTGTGGTCCAAAGCCACAGGCTACCTTTTCAATGGTTTGGTGCGGTTTGGCTTGGTTCAGTTCAGTTCGCTTTGGTTTAGCTATTTGATGCATACAACATAATATGTCTATTACCATTGTGATTCCTGAATTTAATGGTGAAACCACCATCTTTTAAGTCTTGACCTAGACTTAAAAGCATGCTCAGTAACCACAGGATAACCAAATCAGTAATGCATCCTGTTTCAACTTTGATTTTAATGAACAAAATCGTTACATGTGGTGAGTAGTTCTGTCTAGCTGTGTTTGACCTATTTTGTTTGTTTGTTTGTCGTGTCTTTTTTTTTTCCAAATAAAAAATGTAAACTCTACAGCTCCCAGAAGCTGTTTGCTTGGTCAGGTAGGTTCCACACCTTTGGTTTATATCAGATATTACATTCTGTGTGTACATCAAAGAATTTAGGTAAGTCCACAGTGGTTCTTTTAACTGACTTCTACAAAAAAGAAAAAAAAGTGAATAGTTTTCCTGACTCGCGTTACTATCACCATCATCATTTCTTTTGCTGAAAGGGGAATCTGAAAAAGGAAGAGAAATTGGCTTCCGAGAAGAGAAAGGAAATCTGACAAGATAGACAAGAAAAGCTTTCCCTAAGGATGCCCTGAGATTTCAATGACCCCAGGCAATTAGGAACCATGTTGTGCACATAATTAGAAAGATAAAGGTTTATTTAAACACATAATTATCTATAATGTGGCCAATTTGTATTAAAAGAAAGAAAAATACAATCCCTTTGAGTTATTTCCAAAATAGCAGTTCAAGCCAAGTTCAGTGGGTTCATAATTAACTGCCAGAGAGACCTGGGGAACAGATTACGTTTTTAATTTACAATATCACTCTGTTATTCAATTTTAGTTTGAAGTCCAATATTACTACTAAAAGCAATGGGAAAATATTAATTTGGTTATTTTTCATATTTGTTAAGATGGTTCACACAATAACCGAATAGCCCTCATCCTGCTTTTAATTTTTCAAATTCAATGTGTGATATGAATAAAAAACCATGAACAGTGCGATTCCAGCTGTCAGCAGTATTAGGAGGAGTTCACTGGTGTCTGCTGTCAGCAAGGGGTCCATGGAAATTGATGTAAAAGTACAGCCATCTATTATCATACTTAAAATTTTCTGGTCAGTGGGTTTCCTCTTTGCTTTCCTTTCTCCGTTGATTCCTTAACCTGCTTTTCATACTTCATTTAGCATGTTTAAATAAAAAGTCGCTGTGAATGTCTTTTAAACTGACACTGTGCCGAGACACTGAAGTCCCATGAATACGTTTCTTTGCACTCTGACATTTAGAAGTAATCATCACAGAGGCAGCGTAATGTCAGCTTGATATTTCTCACACTAGGAAAATAGCAGGTACATGGCAGATCTCTGAATCTACCGCACGGTAATCATTTTTCTTGTAATAAATTTTCTTCCAGTCAAGCGGCTACTGAAATTCTAAATATTTAAATGTGAAATGGATGTCTACAGTATTATCTGCCTCTATCCCCACTGCCCACAAATACACATGACAGGGAGTGCTTTGCTAAAACAATATTATCTTTCTATGCACTTTTCTTAAAAAGTAGTATCCCCAAGACTTGAATGGGGAAGGGCTGTAAATTCTCACCTCCGGTTAAAACCACTAATCCAGGAAGTCAGTGTAAAGAGGTTGTTTCTTTAATTTTCCCAGAACAGCTCTATCTGTCTCAAGAGTAATATAAACTTAAATATGTGTGTCTAAAATCATAAGTCAAAACCCACTTGCACAAACAAATAATATGCAATTTGAAGATGATTAGGATACGTGAAATGTTAGTATCCTGGGAAAAGCTAAGTAGATTTAATGAGAAAAATTATGACCTGAGAACATTTAAAAAAAAAAAAAAAAAAAAAACTTTCAAAAACCACCAGCCTGAGGATGTAGCTCAGTGGTGGGGCACTTGCCTGGGTTGAAGTTCAATCAGCTTCTTAAGTGGGTCTAACTGGGAGAAGCTGAGCAGCTGCATCTGTCTAAAGAGCTCCTGTGTTTACTCATTTCTCGAGATGTTCATGGATTCTCTGTGACTGTTGACCTGGCTCTCTGTGACTGTTGACCTGGCTCTGTAAACCGCTTGTTGAGATAGAAGGATGAAACAAGATGTCCTTGTTTTCACAGACTCCACTCCTCCATTTAGGTAAGAGCAGTCACAGATTCTTTCACCATGCTGTGGGTACAAGCACTGCCACGTTGTGCTAACCAAGGTGAAGTTCAGTGTCCTGACACAGTTGAAAGGAGTGAGGGTGGAGTGTTCCGTGCTACTGCCCACAACTTGCCCAGAGGAAAAATAATTTTGTAATGTTCCGGAATGTTGTAGGCTTCCAAAAGTGAGCAAATGGGTGCTCTTAATTGACCATAGATCTTTCTGTTCTGTTACAGGGTCAGAGTTGTAAAATTATCTCTCACCATGATGTCGAAATAGAAACAATGAAATTCTATGAGAATTTGACCTAGATTTCTCTTTTGGAGAAAGATATGCCAGCACCATGTCCAGATAATCTGTATTCACTCCAGCATATCCGTCGGTGCCTGCCTGTGCTTGGCTCCTAAATACAAATGGTATCAAAACAGTTCTAGCTGCTTTGTGGGAAGCTGTCCCCAGGGGCAATGTCTACTGTAATTTCAGTGCTTGTCAGTATTATCCAAAAAATTCATTGTTGTCATCAGTGTTTTAAGGTTTGTTTAATTAAAACAATATCCAATACTTAATTTTTGTTGCTACAGCAAATGTACTTACTAATTATATTTTCTCACAGCATATGAGTAGGATAACCAATTTTATTATATGAGATGGAGATTGGGGACTATGTGGCACTTAAAAAAAAAAAAAAGGAACTTTTCAGAAAGGAACTATAAATGTCCAAAGGCTGCTGCTTCAGAAAGATAGTTATTGAAATGGAGGGAGATGGAGGAAGGCACCAGAGCAGAGTGGCAAAAAGTGGAGCCTGGGTTTCTTAAAGGCAAATAAACAGAAACAGGATAGAAGGAGGAAAGAAGGTATGAAGAGAAAGGGAAAGAGAAAGGGAAATAATGGAAAAAAAAAAAACACAAGGTAGAGAAGAAATGGATTCATCTTAAGCAATGACAGTCTGAAATTTTACTCAGTAACAGCATGGGGGCTTTGGGTGGGATTGTGTGAAGGGAAAGTAAGGAGGCCATAGCTTATTCTTTTGTGGGTTTTATGATCTTTATAATGAAAGTTGATTTTTTTAATTTAATTTTACTTATATAAATATTTATTACAATTTATTCACTTTGTATCCCTGCTGCAGCCCCCTCCCTCATCTCCTCCCAGTTCCACCCATCCTCCCTCTTCTCCCCCTGTGTCCCTAATCCCCTGATAGGGGACATCCTCCTCCCCTTCTATCTGACCCTAGCTTATCAGGATCTCATCAAAGCTGGCTGAATTTACTCAATATACCATTTCTTCTGGGTATTTAAGTTCTGAAAACTGCCCAGTTTAAGAAGAAAAGCAGTAAGAAAAGCAGAGGGAAGGAAAATAAAACACACCAAAGCTGACTTGAGAGGATAGAGGGGGGAAAAGATGCTGAGTCAGAAGTTAAAAGGTTCTGACCTGAGATGCTTAAAGGATTTATGGCTTACAAAGGCTCAGATGGGAAAGGCACAGAACTTAAAACTTCCGTGGCTCTAACAGCATCCACGAGGTTTTCTCTCACATGTTCCGGCCTGGAGATACCAGTGTCTAGAGCCAAACTTCTGTTTTGTGGCTCTGTTCTCGCCTGATCCCCAATTCTTTATGGACCATGATGGCCTGGGGGGTGCCAACCACCAGGCCCACATCCAGCCAGAAGAACACTGTCTGTTTGGATGCTGTTGGCTAGATCTCAATCCATGAACGTCCCCGTTTCAAGGGAATCTGAACAAGACCATTTTTAATCAGGGAGATGATAACACTCATCTAAATCGTGAAGAAGAAATGAAGTACCATTATTCTTATCATTGCTTTGTTATGGAGAAAAGGCCAAGTGCCATGGGTAGACCACTGATGCCCCTGCCACATCAAGATGCTGGTCATGAGACTAAGTTGTCATAAAACTCTGGCAACCCAGCACTCCCCCATCCCTTGTCCCCCACCACCCCGGGCCCTATCTTACTAGCCTGCCTTACTTTTCTCACAACATTTACCACTGTCTGAGGTCATTTTGTCCGTTTGTGTCTTATGGCTTTCCCATGCTCTAGTATCAAAAGCTACGTCCTCTCCAGGTCCATAACCTGAATGTGGTGGTTTTGGTAGGTGTGGCCTATGAGGGGTGACTATGTCATGAGCGTGGAGCCCTCACAAATGGGATTAGCATCCTTACCAGAGAGGTGGAGGGAGCTTCTTGCCCTTTGAACCAAATAATGAAAAAGAGAGAAAGCCCACCTTTCTCTAAGACAGAAAGCTGG